AAGGAGCATGTGATGCATTACCTAAGACACCTAAGGCAGACAAAGCAAAGATAACGATTTGTTGGATCATCTTAGAGGCGATGGAGTTTTGGGAAGCACTGGAAGAGGGTACCTGAGTGGGAGCAATTGGCAGAGTAGAACTAGAGGCTCACCTCCAGTCTTATACGGAGGATGAGTAGGACACTCCATAATGACATGTCCAAGCTTCTTGCAATAATTACATACTTTCTGGGACATTGGAGAGCCATGTAACCAAACCCTTACATCTGTAATAATGCACGCTAGACATATCTCGCGGTTTGAATTTCCTTTGAGCAACATATGCAATAGAGTTCGGTGTTACTTGATTTTGATGTTGCTCAAACGAGGTACGAGTGATAAGTCGTTGCTCTTTCCTCAACAATTCACCCAAACAGCCATCCAACACTGGAATAAATTTGTGATTCATAAGACTAGACCGAATGGATTCAAATTGTTCACAATTTCATAAGAAATTAATCAATTTTGGTGACTTCACCCACAGCTTGGACAACTTTCAATCCATTGGGTGAAACCGAAGCATAAATGATATCTGTGTACTCAATCCAAAGATTAGAAAAACCAGAATAATAATCTTCAATGGATGGAGAGTCCTAAGAGAAATTGCTAATTTAAACTCCACCTAAAGCCGCCAAGCATCTAGTTTTGAGTGTAGATTTTCTTCCACATGGGCTTGAGATTAAGAACAATCTGAGCATCAACAATTCCAATGATCCTAGCCATAATCCAAGAATCCTTTGTTTTCCGAGCAAGCTACTTCTTATCCTTCTCTTGATCAGGAAGCAGAATACTTCCATCACTACAACCCCCCCCCCTTCCCCACAAATCACATCTGCCTTCAACCAATAACTAAAAATGAAATGCTCATGACGAGTAGTTGTTTCCAGTAATACAAATACAAATGGAGCCAGTCTTTTCAATTGACATGATGAAACAGTGAATAGTCCCACCAAAATAAATTAATCATAGCCCACCAAATAAATTCAACCTAAGCACAATAGATTAGCTCAAACAATATTCTAGTTTCCGATTAGACCAACGCCCCAACCTAATGGGCCAACATATCCAAGCCCAACAATTTGTCCAATTAAATCAGACTAAACTAACAGCCCACCAAAACTAAACAAAACATGATCTGTTAAAACAAAACAAAACCAAACCGAACTCACAAAGGCGACCGATGGGAGAAGACCGGCTGAACTCCAAAATGCATGCTACAAGAGAAGAGAAAACTCTGACCAAACTCATAGATGCGCCGGCCAAAACTCAACCCTAGACAAGCTGAAAATTGGAAGTACAATTTCACATAGCACTGAAAATAACGATTGGCGACCAAACTTAACGCCGACTGAGACGAACAAAGACCCTGCTGCGATGAAATGGAGTTAAACAAAGGTGACGCTAAATAGCAAGAGTCGACCATAGGTGACGCCGACTATGATGAAACCGAGATGCCGCCAACAAAGCTTAGTTCACTCCTTACCAGACACTCGAAAGAGAAGGTTAGGGTTTTGATACCATGACACGATTTGCTGAATGAATTTCTAGTGTATACTCCCTTTAATTTGTAGATATTACAAAGCTATATAAGGAAACTATAATTATTCTATATAGTGTGAATTAGTCCCCGATTCTATTCAATATAATTAGTCTATAGAAAAAACTAAAATATTTTCCTATAAATAGATCCTCTAATGCTTGCCGCCTCTTATATTCTCTCTCACACATCCAAATATATGTATTTGTATATAGACACAATTATTTGTATTTGTTTAAGACAGTTTTGGATGTTGGTTGTTTTGTTTGAAACCTTATACAATGCTTAACCAAAGAAATAGTGGACTGGTTAACCGGTTTTTGGTTGAACCTGGTGGTTTCTGGATTTTTCACCGGTTTCTTCACATCCGGTCTTTATATTTTGATTGGACCGGATTTCGGTCCGGTTCCAGTTTTTCCTATCGAACCAGCCGGTCCAACCCAATTTTAAGTACTTCGCGATAAATACATTAATTCCAGCTTCCTAACACACACGGATGTGTAGAGTCTAGTATACATTTGTTAACCAAAAGTTATGAAATTTCAAGGTGTAAACAGCTCAACTTCCTAAAACCTTAATGCTGACAGAGTAAGAGATACAACAACATTCTGGTTTATATAATCAGGATCCCATCTGGAGTCCTGGACGATTTGAAAAGTGGAGGGCAAATAAGATCCTAAAACTTATTAGAAACACTTTTAACACTTGTGGCCTCCATAATGAAATAAAACTCCCAATAACATGGTTCTCTAAAGATAAAGAAAATATTTCGAGGCAAATAAAAATAAGGCACTAAGTTTAAACAAATAGTTGCATAGGACTAATTTATTTATTCGAGTGATAGGGATTCATTTTGTAATTTTTGCAACATCTGATATGCATGTAGACACTGAATACCACATGGACAAGCATTATAGAACGAAGCTGAGTATCTGGCTCAGCATAATGCTCCCAAAATCCTCCTCCCAGTATAATTATACAATACAGTCATGGTACCATATCTTAGAGGAATTTCACTTTCCTTGACATGAATTGAAATTGTTAAGAATTTGTAAAGCCAAAAATAGGTTGACAAACTTCAGAATCCTTTTGGCATCTAACAATAAAGATGTAGGAGCTTTACTCTATTCTGCATTTCATACACACAACATCCTGATCTAGTCATGAAAACGTTAGAGATTCAAAATCCATTCTCATCCAAAAGAGCCTTTTTAAAGATATCTATCAGTGTGCCATACCAGTTTTGTTTTGATTTTGATGAATCGACCAGAAAAATAATCTCACATTTTGCATGGACTACATTGCTCTTTTTCTAAATTGGTACATTTAGGCTCCCCAGTGATTACTGGCTCATAAACTGAACAAGATTATACATTTCCACTGGAAACACTTTAGAATGTAAAATAAAATGCAAAAGCATTTCTGCCTCAACATCTCATGTGAGGCAGTGTATGCATTTACTCCCACTAAAGCAAACATTGACGCAAATACTCTTTCGTGCAACCATTGAAAATAAAAAATATCCTTCATAGAAAGATACCTAGATGTGTTGATCAAGAAAGAGGATGAAAATGATAATTTGCCCAATGAATATGATCAACAAGTCTAATGAGTATTATTGGCATCAGAATAAACGTGGACAACTTACAAAGATTTATAATTATGTAAGATTTTTGGTATAGTTGAGTTGAACTGTTTTTTGTGTTTTACCTTCCACGACTGTTTTAACCCTTTATGCCAATGGTTGATTGAAATACCAAACATGCAGAAAGTAAGAAAAATTATTTCTAAAAGATGTGAAGCCAATTAGAAAAAATGTGTGATATCATTGGGAACTTTTATGTACCTAGTGCAGTTGTTTTGAAACTAACCTGCCCACTGATGCTAACCATATAGCTTAGCAGCATAAGAACATCCAATGCAGATTCAAACATAACTTTGGCAATTTGGGAAGTAGCCTGCACTATCGCAAAACCATTAACATTGAAGACTGCTTCAGAACCCAATTTGAGTACAGTTTTATGAGGCACTAGAAACCTTAAGTAGCTCTCGATAACATCCAAAACTTTGCCCCAGGTGTTAGCTCTATTGCATAAAGAATGAAGGGACAAAAACATATCTTTTGAAAATTTTCTTAAACTTCTGTGATTAGACACTTCTTTCTCCCATGCAATATCAGCTCCCAAATCTGATATTTGTAGAGCTGCAATTGATGAACCATATCCTGTTTGTAGAATCTTCATAAAGCGAGGTACAACCTCCTCGGGCGAGATATGAGGTGTGCTAAGAAGTGACTCATCAAATATAACCGAAGAGGCTTTGCCCAACTGCTGGCTCACACAACTAACACACTGGAGTAACTCAAAAAGAATCTCCCGGTCAAGCTCATCACCGGGAATTTGCAGTGCAGAGTTTGTATTATTGCCAAGTTCATTAAAAGAACCTGATAGCATACAAAATAAAGAAATGTCTGCATTAGAAACAATTGTGGACATTTGATAAAAGAAATGCAGTCAAAAAGCTTGTGTAGGATTTTGTTTATCGGTATGAAGTTTGACATACCATAGATAAGATGCTCTACGTCCTCCAAACCACGGCATAGGGAGATTGCATTTTTTCTGATTAAACCAACAGCTCCCGTGACTGAATCCAACAGTAGACCACAAGCTACATTGTTTTTACACCAATTATTGACATAGCGAGTACAGAGAGTTTTCCAACATTGAAGCATTGAAACCGGATTTTCACAGCCACCCTACAATAGAACACACAGTTATCAACTCCCTTTAACTTCTTGATCCCCTACCCCTTTCCACAAACAGAAAAAGAAAGACAAATGTGTACGTATATATAGTGTCCCCTATGCACGTGCGTATGTGACTCTAGGTATTGGTATGTATATAGATACATAATTACCTACATATGTAATCAATTAAAAAAAATGAATAAACTATCATGTCTACCTTTCACTCCAAGAATCGCTGGGTTCAGATTTTGGTAGCCTTTTGAAAATTATGCTTAAATTCAATTTAAAGAATAGCAACCCAGCAATCATGAAGCTCCCAGTCAAATTCAACTGGAGATCAAAGTTGTAAAATGTGATTTGACATGATCTAAATGAAAGTTGAGAAAGTAAGCATGAGTGAATTGAAAGTTCAAAGTGCATATCTAAATTAATTTATCTAAATATATAAAGGACAATGTATATTGAGTGGGGCAGAGGCTACAAGAAATGCAAGAGAAAGACGAAAAAATATCTAATTGTTGAAAAGAATAGTGCTTTTTAAAAAGTCAATGGGAATCAAGAAAATACCTGATGCTCAACAAGTGAAAGAATTTCATTTTTTAGTCCATCAACAGTAAAGGAGTCAAACTCAGAATCCGTAAAGTGCTTGTTATATTCTTGTAAAGTTTTCCTGAGCACCATAGCATGGTGAACCCCAGGAAAAAGCAGCCTACGTAAGAAAATAGAAGATACAAATGGAGCAATTTCATCCTGCAAAATTAGCAGTATTTTGTCACAACAATGCAGAAAATTCACTCATTTCTTATAAAAATAAAATCTAGAACAAAATAACAAATTTATACCCTCACAACCAAAATACACTTATCTTGCCTTTTCATATCAAAATATTCAATCATGAAGAACCTCAAAATCAAAGCAACACCATCTCACTCCTCAGAGAAAGGGTCATGTTTCAAAGAAAAAAATCTTGGCGTAACCTCAAATAAATACACATAACATTTGTCAATGCATAATTAAAAGATCCTAAGAGAATTTGCACTAAAAAATAAAAAAATTCCCTTTGCAGCCGAGAAGCAGTGTTAAAGAAATTAAGAAACATTAATGAGGATGGGAAATTTCATAACTTTTTCAATTTAGAAAATCATGTTCTCTCCAACACAAAATACCTCCTAGTTAGATCTACCGTCACCCGTCACTTAAAAATCAATATCTCCATTCTCCCATTCCATCCTACATAACACACAATGAAGGAAGAGATCATCCGCTTCAAGCAGAGAAGTATGGATACTGCCTGCAAGTCTAACCTACAAACTTAAAGTAAAAAACTACATTCATCTAGTACTTATTAAATACTAGAACTCAATCTAAGTACAGAAATATGTAATTAACACAATTGCTGTATATACAATCTGATATTCATCAAAAAAATGGAAGAAAAGAAAAAAGAGGCTTCAGAAAGCCTAACTACTTCAAAGTAATAGGAGTCAATAAAATTTAGCCCCTGTTAGAGCCCCCTTCTATAAAACTCATTTTCAACCATAGTTCTCCTAATAAAATAATTTTGCACGTAAACCCAAAACTTACTACTTTTTAACCACAAATCACTTTTTACAATATCTTATTCTCAACAAATTGGCTCAAACAGGGCTTTAATCTTTGCTAAAATGTGCGGTACTATAATGTCAATGCTGCACAAGCACTGCAGAGAACTGTAATTGATAGATTCGAGAAAAGTTTTGAGTTCGTGAGCATTGTGTGCAATTATTTTGCAAAAGAATTAAAAGATTAAGAAAAGAAAGGAAAGGAAGAAAAAAGAAAACCACTGTGGACAACAACATTGCACAAACAATATAGTTGAAACAGTATTCCAATTATAGATAGTTCATTGAGCACAACAGAAAAGAACTATGATTTAATATAGTCTGCACTTAATATCTTCTCTTCTACACATAAATATGGAAAGTCAAATGCTACATACAGAAAATATATGGCAAAGGGAACAAATAGGCCAAGGGAAGAAAATAGAAATAAGAGACAAAGGCAAGAATGGCCACAACACCTTTATTGCACCACGCTCATAAAGAACGATTATGAAACGCCTCAAACAAATATTCTTGCTCTCTTCATCAGGATTTGAAATTATTGCACAATATGCATCATGGTAGTAATTAAGATCCAAAGTGAACTTGAAGACATTTGCCCAAAGTCGGCCCTTTACTGAAGTTACTGATTCCCCAAGGAAATCTTCCCTGGAGCTGCTATCTATAGGACTAAGAGCTTCGTCAACTTGCTCAAGTGCAGCCAGAGCAAATTGGCAAGCAGATTCACTCATATTATATTGTTCAAATATCTGCATCACCCATTGATAATATTGAAGCTTCCATGCTGCAGGCGGGAGAGAACCAGCTGGAAGGAAATACATGAATAAAAAAATAGTACCATCTAAGATCATGAAAAATGAGAGGAAGGTAACAGTTTGACATACTGAAACCAACACTCAGCCATCCTGCTTCATGTGGCAAACTTTGCAAAGCCTGGGAAGCTCCTTCCAGTGATGCAGCTCTGTACAAAAAAACATCAACAGCATAAAAATGTTACTTCCTTATCTTCCATAAATGTAGCTAAAGATAGCAGTTCTAAATTAGAACTCCAGAGAGAGGTTTGTGCAAGGATCAATCTGACAACTGCTTCAGTGAAATTGAAACAAAGACTTCCATAAATAAATAAATAACTTGGATATATACATATATATATATATATATAATTGCTATTCATAACCAGCTAGAATACAAACCAACAGCAATCAGCCCATGCTCAAAAGAAAAGAGCCTGAGAGACGGACATTACAGACGTGAGACAACCAGACAAGATACAGAAAACAAGTCCCAAACAAGAAAATCTTGAATATGGGAGGAAACAAACCACACACAGACTTTTTTTTTTTTGGTTCTCGAATTTGTTTTCTGTTTAATATAGAGTGGATGATGAAAAACCTTGAATACCTGAAAAAGCAGCGAACGGATTCACTGAGTTTCCTGTCTTTAAATGGGCGATACAATCCATTTTGTGTCTGAGCAACAAGACAACATCCAAGAAGATGGAGGAGTGTGGGTAATTTCCCACCCACAACCTGAAGGCTTCCAAATATTTTCTCCTTGTGTGAATATGCATCCACCAAAGTAAGCAGATACTAGATGAAACAAAATCTTGTTTGAGAATCATTCCCAGATTTATTATGTTCAGAGATAAAATAGTATAACGATATTATAGCAAATCAAAAGCAACAAACCTCGGCAGCATTAAACTGGCCATGTCTAAGTAAGACTAGTGCAAGATCAATTGAATGGCTGAAAGATATAGAAGATTCTTTTCCATCTCTTCCCCATATTATCCAGCTAGTGAACTCCCGACTTAAACTAATTAAGCTGCTGGGATTGGAGTGTCTTCTGAAAGAGAGGTGGCCCAGATCTCCAGAGGAACTTTGCATACTTAATAATAGGATAAAAGCTAGAGGAAAATCACACTTCCCAAGCCTCTCATTCCACGACCTTTTATCATCATTGCCATCTGACCATGATCGAAAGTAAAAAGCATCAAACAATTCAATTCTAGATTATAAATCAATCTCAAAAAAAAATGCAAGAAAGTTAAGTAGAATAAACTCCAACTACATGTCCATCAGTGATCAGTCTATGCTGACTTGCTATTCTTTCATATATATATATATAGACACACACACCATGAAGCCGAAAAATAATTAGACCAATAAACTTACAACTAAAGAAACTATGTAATATCTCCATCAATATTTAATGTTTACCAAGATAAGTTGATAAACAATCACATTAATGTCATAAACTGAGAGAAACAGAGAAACTAAACAGCAAGAAGTTTGGATAATCCTACCAATTTGTAAAGATGAAAGTTGAGAACTAAAATCTTCAATTGCAGGAGATTCAGATGGTGTGGTCCCAAAGAAATGGATAATATGCCATTCGGTTAGACTTTCTTGAATCATAGGAATTAACTCAACTTTTACTCTTGAAACATCGTCGTGTGTCATATTAATCTGTATAAGTAAAAAACAAGTTAGAATTTCTCATATAATGCATGAAATAGTCATCTTTAAAGTAAAGAATGAGTTAGAATTTCTTCATATGATAAATCAATGTTCTGAAAACTGCCCAGCCATCAACCAGAAAAAAGTTAAACGGTCGAATGGAGGTCGACCTGGAATCAAAATGATAATAATAAATAAATTTATATACTACATTAAAAAAATTAAATTCAATGGGCCAAACCAATCCATATATCCAAACCCTACTATGAATAAGCCGCTGCCTGTCTTCTTGTCAAATTCATTTTATTTCAAATTTCAACTTTTCGCCACCTCTTGTCTTCTCACATATACAGATATATGATGATATCCAAACCCTACTATGAATATGTGGCTACTTGCCTGCCTGCCTTCTTTTCCAGGTTCATTTAATTTCACCTTCGTGCTGACATGATTTGCTGAATGAATTTCTAGTATATATTCCCTTTAATTTATAGATATTACAAAGCTATATAAGGAAACTATAATTATTCTATACAATGGGAATTAATCCGCGATTCTATGCAATATGATTAGTTTGTAGAACAAAACTAATAAATTTAGCTATAAACAGATCCTCAAATTGATATTAGTGAGTACACAAGCATCAATTTGTGCAGAAGAAAATTATGACGGAGACGAGTCGGAGATTTGGTGAAGATATCTGCAACCTGTTGACTAGTGGAAACATGAGGAAGAGTGATGACTTTGGAATCATAGACATCCCGGATGTAAAGACAGTCCACTTCAATATGTTTTGGAGCGCTCATAGTACATAGGATTAGCCGCATTCCAAATAGTACTAGTGTGGTCACCATGAAGAGATGTAGGCTGAGATTGGAAAACAACAAGTTCCGCAATAAAACCACACAGCCACACAACCTCAGAACATGCAACGAACATGGCATGATATTTAGCCTTAGTTGAGGACTTAGAAATACAGTCTTGTTTCTTACATTTCCAAGAAATGAGAGCATTGCACAAAACGATACACCATCTAGTAGTAAATCGACGAGAATCAGGACAACAAACTCAGTCAGCTTCACTATAAGAGGTGAGCTCAAGATGCATCCCCCAAGGGAAGAACAGATCACAATGAGTAGTTCCAATTAGATATCGAATNATTCAAAAATTGTCATTTTTCTAAAGAAAGCTGACTCAACCCATTGCAGCCACTACACTGCTCATGACCATTGCTCAACCTTACATTTTTTTTTTGGAAAGATAATCAAATATTTATTCAATCTTACAATCTTGAACTCCTTCAATGTCATTACCAATGGACTATTCTGCAATTTTCATTTGAACCAAATGTAAGTCACCCAGAAACATGTGCAGAGCAATAACTATCACATCAATCCATCCCCATCCTCCTTTTTTGTCTTCTAAGGTTAAAAAGCAGATGGCACGCATTATTAGAGAACTTAAAGCACATTTCATTACTTCTATTACAAGCTCATCATTTGGAGAGCTCAAGACAAAAATAAAAATAAATAAAAAATTTTGTGCAATTTAAAATTTGAACAGATGAAATTCTTCAAATCTCAATTTTGAGCAGCAACAGCTGCAACTAAAACTCAAAAAGCAATATAGGATACTTTGCAAATTGTCATTCATTGTCTTAAAGAAGTTGTTCGGCATACTCATTGAAAGAGAACAAGAAGTTTCTATCAAATTTATATAGCATATAATTTTTAAAAATTATATAGCATTTAAAAGCTAGGGATGTGATGAATTCCTAAAGGCGAGGATTCTAAGCATGGGTATACAATCTTTCAGTAGCAAGTGGGCTTGGTTTGTCCAGAGAACAGATTAGCCATTTGTTATTATTTCATAATAGATGACAAGCAAGGAAGCTGGAACAGTTTGTTCAAAAAATATAGTGACAAGTTTTGCCTTTGAAGCTTAGCCTTCCACATATTTTAGATATTTCAAGAACAACCTTCTCACTCCTCAAACCAATCAACCCACTACCTCACTTTCAATCAAGAGGGAGCTTCATTTTATTCAAGTAGTCTATAGGACACAACTCCACGTCTTCACCAATGGTTCCCTTTTCTTGGAATTATAACTTGACAAAAAAGAGAGGAAAGTGGAGTAAATTGCGACCCAAGAAGCATCACATTTTCCTCTACCTAGTTGGGGATAAATTGCCAAAAGAAAGTTGATGGTCGAAATCCACTATTCATACAGTATATGTTCTACATTCTAGACTACTAAAACAGACCCGATTCACACACCTCAGGAGTACATTACCAAGCACGTCCCAAAGTTTGAGGTAGTCTTACTTTTCCAAATCAATCTGGTAGAAATGAAATGAGTTTTGATTCCTAAAGGATGTTAAGTTAGGAAAAATATAAGCACTATGACAGACAAACATATACGTGTAAGGCATCAAGTTTTTAATTTACATGATATCCATATTGAATTCTTTTGTGAGTCATAACATATCTAGTTCCATTCACATAGTGCAAATAACCATGAGCTGGTGTTTTATTTATGACTTCTATGTGACCTATCAAAAAAAAATTATGACTTCTATGTGAAGTGATAACCATCTATAATTACCATAGTCTGCTGTTTTGCATAGTTAGCTGTTAGAGATCATAAAGAAGCATTTCACATAGCAATAGGAAAATCAAATTGCAGATGTACACTAAAAAATTTATATATTACATATAATTGCATGTCAGTGCATGTGCAGATTGAGCTAAAACATTGGTGTTGGGTTATCAGAAAGGGTAAAACTTGAACTTTGCATCACATGGTATTTTCAATGAATAGAAGAAAAAAGAAACAACAAAATAATAAATCGAAATAAACAAAAAGGAAAGAGAATGGGAATATGAACACAAGAATATGTGTAACACATCAATATGAAATTCGATGTTCCATTGTCATTTTAAGAGCCTCCTACCAAGTTCTGTTCATGCAGCATTGCCAGAGGAATTATGCCAGTATCAGTATCAAGGTTAGCTTCTCCCACCCATAGCCTTACAAATGTACCTGAAATTAATATGCAGATGAAACTTCAGAACACAAATAGATGAAAAATTATATTGACTGTAGAAAGCTATTTCCCAAACCAATTTTGCAAAGACCAAGAAAATTAGAGAGCGCCATTATCTTCAATTCAAAAACTAGGTTCATGAAGTACACAGGCCAATCATTACGTCTCCACATTTTCAGATATCTACTTAACCTATTTCCTCCAATACCTCCATAATGAATGGCACAGCAAGTAAATCATACATTTTTATTTTTTTCTTGGAGCCTTTCAAGTATAGTTGACTCAAATGAATAATCTATCAAGACAAAAGAAATTATCAGTTTAAAGACAAAAATGATCTTTTAACACTTAAAGATTTAGTAGAATAATTTTCAACACTTCCTTTTCAATTCAACTTTTAATAATTATAAAGTTAAGGTCTTATTTCCATTTTATACTTATTTAGTAAAACGTGGGGGGACCATTGCCTAACCTACCACCAGCACAAGGTGGATATTCTTTTTCATATCAACTCTACTAAAGGCATTACGATAAGTAGACCAAATTTAACTTAGCCTGTGTAAATTGTTTTATATCTCCCAGTTGATTCAACTATGACTGTAGAATCGCGAAAAAAGATTCATGTAGCTAAATTTTTTTAACTTATGGCAAACAAAGCTTAGTTTGTTGTTATAGACAATCATGTCAAGGCAAGATCTAATAAGTAAACAATATCCTGGCGCATAGATACTAAGTCAAATGCATTTTTATATATTAGAATTTCAAGGATGAGAAAATAAAGTCTAAACAGCAGATTAAATCGCCATAAAATACTAATTCAGAGAAAGACGGTACACTTGCCTGGCAATGTTGAAATTGCCACTGTCTGACTTAAAATTTTACTATGGCTAACAAGGTCCCAAACTCGGAAGCTCCCATCAGAATGAAGCACAAAAAGATGCTTCTTATTAGACAACTCTGATATTACCAAATCCTGTACAGCAGCTACTGTCCGACTCCTTGATGATAATTGACATTAATGGAAAGAAAATAAACAATCAAGTAAGATACAGAAAACCATAGAAATTTAATTCTTTGTCCATACAAACCCATCAATTAATAAATTTCCTCAAATCAATCATTGATAATCAAAAGAAAAAAAAAAGAGTCAGAATTTGAATTGATTTCTATTACTGATTTTTTCTGAGTAATTTTCTAAAATTTGATTGTTATAATGTATAAAGTTTGTCAATCAAGAAAACAAAATTGAGTTTGGTGGTCGTACAACTCCTATTTTATTTATTTTACAGAAGCAATACAGTGGCAGTGTGGAACTAGCCAACAATAAAAACTTGTCCTCATAAATTAAAAAAGAAATGTAACACGCAAGCATAATGAAAATGCATGGCATCAAACGAAAGATGGATCTACAGCTCTACATTGTTGAACTTGTTTCATTGATGGAAACTGATATTTGATTCAATATAGTGCAGGATTGTTTGACCAATCAAAACTAGCTAGATCAAATCCTTGCTTAATTTTTCAAGACAATCCCATAAATTTCACCATCTAATCTTATGGGTTTTTCCCGCCTGTTTTTGGTAGATTTTGCACATTTGAAAGTTTATGTGCAGATCCAACAGTAACCAAACCACATCAAATCTTCGCACAACTGATGTAATGTGAAGACAGTGCATAGTATGATTTTATTCTTTTCAGATAATAAAATAGAATACCAATAATTGGACAAAACAATTAAGGAAGGTAAATGAAGATATGGCAGGAGAGAGGTCAAAGAGGAATTGATTAAGTGCTTAATCGATGGTAAAGCACTAAAACTTCTCCTCCATCACCCTTTATTGCTGTGGAAGCCCCTCAAAAATATATATTGGAAACAAAATTTTCACTTGTAAAGATTTTGAAAATTTGTGAAGTAATATATACAGTTTTGGAGCATGTCTGGTAGAGATTTTTCCAAACTTATAAGATGTTCAAACACCATTTTAATCTACACATTCTATAGGAATCACCACTTTTATATATTATTTATCCACATGTTCACTATGACCCACTGCTTATAATCTAGAAAAAAAATTATCAAACATACACTTCTATTGATTTTTTTTTTTTTTTTTAATTTGTAAGTGGACAAGCTAAAAATATAGACTCGGCCAAATAGCACAAAACATGGTGTATGTGCCTTGTAAAATGAAAACACAATTTCTTCAAACAATAACCTATTATTCAGCTTGTTCTGAAAAAACATTAAGGGCAGCAATAATGAGTTGGCACTAAGGGCTCCCAACGGGGCCAATAACAATGATCATGTCAGCATCCAAGTCTGTTACTTAGACATTGGAGCTTAAACATGTAATCTACGATGTTTGACACCAGTTGCTTAAGCAGGGGGGTAGGGGGGGTAGGGAGAGAGCAACAACACTGTAAAGTAAGTCAGGTTTAAGTTTAACTCTGTCAAAATACCCAAAAGGAAACACTGCAAAGAAATCCATATAAAAAATATTATGTGTTTTAAGCCACTTGATCTAAAAGCTATGAAGCCCATTTTTTCTATGAGAGTAGTATTATATTCTCAGCTATTTTAATAAAATAAATTGCTTGTCTTATTCAAAAGATTTCAACAACGAATATCAAAAATAAAAATTTATAGATTTTATTAAAAATAAAAAGTATAGAACTAAAGTTATACTATATAAATGTATATTGAAGGATTAAAATCTAAGTGTCCATGTCCTTTTTTTTTCAAATCACGTATCGATATATTAGCCATGTCCTTCCAACAAGTATTTAGAGAGTCACATATATATCATTTAAATTGTCTTCAACGCGCTCCCTCATATGTAGCTGAGATTAATTTTTTACCATTAAAACCTAACACTTGCACAATTCATTTATATAGGTGACAACAAAACTTGAACTCAAGACTTTTACCTACTATATACCATGTTGAACCACTTATATAGAAGTTAAAACTTTTAGAGATAGTCCTACATGTATACCAAGATAAATTATCCTCAACAAAGCAGAAGGAAGATACGCAGTTAACCTCGCAAATCAGATTGATATCAAGGATACTTGAGGGTTATGAACTCATGGAATTTGTTTGAAAACTAACTACCATTTTAAATGAGTGCAATATTTGGGCTATGTATATTGTATCTTATGTAAAAGCTTCTCTATAAGGTTGTTTACCTCATGTAATATCAGTCAAACACTTGGGCAAGAATTCAAGATATTAAAATGCATGTCTCTGATACCGCTTGGGTTTGTTAAGAACAGAAATAGGAAAAATGAAATATTAAATATAAATAGAAGAAGCATCAGAAACAAGAATACAGAACTGCATATTATCTAACTTTCACCAATATCGTTAAATATAGCATTAACTCACATCAATGTGTACTTTTATCAGGCGAAAAAATCATTTAAGACAGTTAGTCACCTTACAACAAAGCATAAAAAGTATTAAATGCAACAGAAACACAAAAAAAAAATAATAAAATAAAATCGAAAAAGATATAAGCGGAGTCTTGAGAGACAATATTTATCATCATAACTGAAAACAGATACCTTGACACTATGCCCCACAACCGACCAAAACCAGCATCATCTCGTAGTTCAGAGACAAAACCTAAAAATTAGTTAAAAGGATAAGGAAAGATACTCGAAAGCAACATAACGATAACTTCAAAATGATGCAGAACCGAAAGACGGCTGTGAAGTCAACTTTTTAGCAGTCTAATTAAGTAACCAAGACCACTAATTAATATTTTAACATCAGTTTTTAAAAGCATCATGAATTTATTAAAAAGGAACAAGGACAAGAGGATAAGACCCTCAATCAATAAAGTGAAACTAATTGATGATTAAGAGCATCTCCAAGAGTATCTTATGTTTAAAGAGCATCTTACATTTAAAGAGTCTTCAGAGACTCTCTAATACATCTTACCCACCAAGAGTAATCAAAGAAAATTGTTTAAATTCCTAAGCAGCAAAAGCCCATAAAGAGCTAAAAGCCTAAAAACTTAGTCCTTCCCATAAATGAAATGCCTCTTCTTCCTTCTTTTCAAAACTTCTACTATTCATTTGTCAGAACCAAAAAAGTGCCAACACCACGTACATCCATGCGTCCATCTCACATATCATAACCTCGGTCACAAAATGAACCTTTTTTCTAAAAAAACAAATGTGTTTTTCTCTTAAAAAAAAAAAAAAAATCAAGAGAAAACCAACATATATTAGTGACATGCTCCCCCATCTCACAATATCAGAATGAAACAAGTAGACAATGATTTCCACATCCTTTGTAGAGATCACACACCAGAAAGAAGAACAAAAAAGATGAGGTCTTTTCTTTTGCACTATGTCACAAGTTAGATCATCCTAGAAAAAGTAGTGCAAACACCTTAACCCTGGAAGAAGCACTAGACATCCAAGTCAAAGTAAGCTTGGAGTATCTACAAGTAAGTGAAACTCGATTCACAGGAAAAGATACCAGAGAATTACAATGCTTACGATTTCTTATTTGAACAAAAGGGCCTGAGCAATTACAAATGAGAAAGACAAATCTGAAAGCTTACCATCTCAAGAATAAAACAGAATTGCAAATTTCAAAAAATCGAATTATCATCTGAGAGTATAAGAAATGAGTAACTAAGGCATTCTTCAACTGGGAAAAATTATACAATCTAGGTAAAGATACAGCAAAAGAAATAGAACTCTCCAACCATCCTCACAAAAACAATCTTTCGCACTCCTAGAACCACATCCCACCTAGCAAGATTTATGAAAAAGGAAACCCCTTATAAAACTTAAGGATTCCTAAATGAAAATTTTCGTTCTTTTTTTTGATAAGTAATCATATAATTTTATTAATCAATAGGATAATACGTGGGGGTCTATTATCAAAATAAACAAGAACGAAAAGATATGAAGTTAGGCAACCCTTCTATACGATTAATGGCCGCAGCATTAAACTAATTATACAAAATCCTATAAAACAATTCTCTAATCTGCTCTGTTATTCCTGTTTGGTCTTCAAAATAGTGGTTGTTCCTTTCTCTCCACACACCCTACAATGCATCCCGAAATAAGACTCCACACAAGCCTTCTATCTTTATCTTGAAATTTTCTCCTCCATGCCCACAACGCGTCTTCTATGCACCTAGGCATCGCTCAATCCAAATGTTAGGAAGCTAAAATACCGTTCCACAACCACCGAACACCATCACAATGAATAAACAAATGGTCAATCGTTTCCTCATTTCTCTTACACATATAACACCACTCAGCAACAAAAAAGCCTTTTCTTCAAAGATTGTCCAACGTTAACGTCTGTCCCCTCACAACCGTCCATAATAAGAAAGTCACCCGTGGAGTAATTTACATTACCACACTGTCTTCCAAGGAAATAAACTCTCCACCAGGCCAAATATGGATCTAAAAAAAGAGCGAATTGAAAAAATATCATCCCATGCCAACCTCCACCTGCTATGATCACATTTTCCTACCTAAATATACGCCTCGTGCAAGGAAGTCAAAAATAGTGCATAATCATCCAATTCACAATCCTGTAGTCCCCTCTCAAAAGCAATATTCCAACTATAACTTCCATTATGTATGGCTAATATATCATTCACCATAGCAGACGGTTCCAAAGCAATGCGATGCAAAAAAGGAAACTGTGCCTTTATCAAATGATTTCCACACTAGCAATCATCCCAAAATCTGATATTGTTGCCATTCCCTACCACATATATTGATACCCAACATGTTGTCCCTCCCCCATAAACTGCTAACAACCGCCCTCAAGATGAACTCCAACTTAGTTTCTTATAAGCAAACAAGGTCCGCCCTCCATCCCCTTAGCAGATTTCAAACACCTAACATTTTTCCCGCTTCATTAAGCCCCCTTACATTCCAACTAATTATTTTTGGGATCATCTTAACGCTTTCTCATTCCTCCCAAGCAAACCTTTCTTTGACTCAACCCCCTTGGCATCATAATTTACTGACCATTCGAGCTGCTTAAGTTCACGATCAACCTTTCTTCTTGATTTACCGCCTTGTATACTCATCCCCTATGTCCCCCACTGGCCTTCATTTCCTCAAATAATTGCAAAAGTCTACTTTCAAATTCATCACATGACACTCCAACCAGCTTACTAAAATCCTGAATTTTTTTAAGGACCCAATTTGAAGATGGGGGCTCAACTTCAATCCCATTCACTTTCGTTGTTTCCTCCGCATGACGATACTCCAAAGGATCGCGTGGATATCCCTCTACTTCCTCCACTTGCTCGATATTACTATTGTTCCTCCCTACTTGGCACCATCTTCCCACAACACTATCGCTTTGTCAGTCTCTAATTCCTTTTCTTTACGGGGCTTTGAATGCCTTCTATTATATGTGTTCCCCACCATGGTTCTCAAGCATGTTGCCTTATTCTCTTTCAGTACCGTAGAGACTGATCTATCTGCCAATACATGTCCCGTCTCTTGCTCTTGCTCTTACTCAACTGATAATAGTCCATCAGCCGGTGACATCATGTTCATCATTCCCAATGTGTCCAACTCCAAATTCACCATATTCGGATCCCCTTCGTTAGGCCAAGGTCCCACCTCCCGATCCGCTTCAGTTCCCGAGTTATTATCCTCCTTATCTTCAGGAGTCGAGCGTTCTTCACCACGCCCATCCTGCACTTGTAACAAACCATCTTGGGATCCACTACAGACCCACATTCTACAAGCCCAGGTAATTACCTCACAACATGTCCTAAGAAAAAGCTTGCTCTTAAAAGAAAATCTCCAAAAGCCATTTACCTAACAGAGGCAAGTTTATCATTTTAAGATTACACATTCTTTGCTCCTAATAACAGATCAGATGCTATTAAACAATCTTTCAAACTCCCTCGCTCGCCTCCCATAACATCTCTAGCAACAGGATTCAGAAATTAGTTAACTGAACAAGAAAATTTTAGTAGCTAACCTAGGAAATGAAACATTGTAAAAAATAAAAAAATAATAATAAATAAATTGAAATGAAGAGAAACATTATTATAGACCTGGAGCAATCGGGTCAAGTATGCCAAGTTGGAAACAACTAATAGATCCATCAATCCTTCCGACAACAAGACATCCTGCTCTTGCTGCAACTGCAGTTATTGCTCCATGATGAGGTTCAATTTGTGTGTTATACTCAAGAATATCGTTAGCTGGGAAGAGAGAATAATCATAAATATTTCTTAGTCTTATGAGGTAAGCAACCCCTGAGATTGTCAAGGCATAAAGCACAAATTGATTTCCTGAAGAAAATTTGGCCTGCATAAAAATGAAATAACGGCATAGCCTGGTCATATAGCAGAAGAAACGAAAAGGCAGTAACAGATACAAATTGAGAACTAGCAAACCTCATCTTTGCATATAAAGGCAAAGGGAAAAAGTGCATCAGGAAATATGATTCGGATTCCAATCCTTGGTATTTCTTTATAACTAGAGAGCTCTAAAATCTCGAGCATATTTGATTGAATCTTGCATGTTTTCCTGTAGCAACGTAATCATTGGACGTCAACCATGTGTAATGTAGAAGGAGAGCAACGTACGGAAATATGTATACAAAAATAACAGAAAACTTAAGAAATCAAAGCAATCAATTGATAATGTTCAAAAAGATAAAGCAGTCAATCAATTCCAACAGACTAAGCCAAAAGAGGGTGTGCATAACTAAGCTGGAGTTCACGATATCATCATTGACAATGAATTCAAAGGTGATAGAGTACCATATCCCACCAACATCCTTCTTATCATAACAGACAGAGGCAACTAAAGTTGGTGTCCACAATTTGTTCCCAAACTTGGGTCCATACTGCAATTTCAAATCTACAGGCTTATAAGTAACCCCTAAGTATATTTTTCCCATTGTATGTCTCCCAGTATCAAATCTTAATATAAAATAAAAAGGATTTGGCACGTTTAAAAAGGCCAGATAATTTAAATTCTGATTCAATTGTCAGAGAGATGACTAGCATGATTAGAACTAAAAACCCATAAGTTACACAGAAAAGTGTCAGTAACTATCTGTGCTTGAAATTTTCTTATCAAAAATTTAATGTCCTGCCTAATGAGGAATAGTGTCAGCTGAATCTTGGGTCAAAAATCAACAAAAATGGAGAACTACCCTTCAATTTCCTTTCAGTAATCTTTATACCATTTGAAGTCCTCAAGAAAGGCAGCCTCCTGGTTTAAAAAGACTAGAGTAATAACAAAACTCAGTTCAACATTTCAAGCAAAACCGTGAATCTTGATGAATATGAAACTACAATAAATAAAATATATTAATAATAAACACACAAATAGATGGGGAGACTTCATTCCAGCTCTCTTTCAGTCGCAAGTCTCTTTGCAACCAATCGAAACTCTCCTTTTCCTTCCAAAACAAGAGATTCTCTCGAGTTTATTATATAACAATCCCTTAACAGTTATTCGTTTGGCATGGCTTTTGCTTTAACTTTTGCTTCTTGCAGAAGAGTTTTTAAAGGAAGTCACCTTAATTTTTATTTGTAAAAAGGTTTCTATTCTGGACTTAGAAAGTAACTTTGAACCAACTTCTTTTAACTAGAAGAAGTATTATATAAAATTAGCTAAACAGATTCAAAAGTAGCTTTTGGGTCGTAAAAGCTCTTTTTGAATTCTCAAAACCCAAGCCAAACCGGCACAAAATATAACTAGAGAAAGTTCCAATAAAAATATAAGCTTGGAAAAACAAATAAATAGCCGAGCAAGTAATCCAAAGTCCTTGTAACATAAACATTACTAATAGCAAATATCATAATATCGTGGCAAGTGTATGAATAAACTGACACCTAAAAATGTTCAAGTATACTCGGGAAGTGGGTGCTCACCAGATAAAATAGGTAGGGTGGTCTCCCACGTTACAGAAAGAGGCAAAATCCTTAGCAATTGGGTTGGGAGGAGTAGTGGTAGTAGAATTTGAATTAAAAGGGACAGAAACTTGATGCCACTTGATGGAATCGGTGCTGAATATTGGAACCTCCATCCCCGCCATGCGCCACCCGTTTGTACTCCCCATTGTAGCCACTCCGGTGGGGGGCTCCGATTCTGGGTTTCGGGATGAAAAAATATGAGGGGGTTTTAGTGAGAAACCTTTATGTCGCCACTTGAGGTAATTTTGGATTGCGATTTGCGACTAGAGCTGGCAACTCTGTTCGGAATGGGCCAATTCATGTGGTTCGACGCGGTCCGTATTGAGTTTGTCGATTTGTGGGTGTAGCCCGTTTGGCCCCATTTTTTGGTAATGAAAATAGGTGGAATAATATTTTTTTTTAAATAAGTGGTTAAAAAAAAGGAAAAATTTTTTATTTACATATAATATTATTTTATAGAAGATTGTTTGGTTAAAAATAATAGAAAGAAAAATAGAATATAATGAAATATAATTTAATATGGGCAAATAGGGGCTTATTAGCAATTCAAAATTAAGTGGGTGTTTTCACCCATTTTTAAGGAAAAATGAATTTTAGAATAGTAGATTGATGAAAAATGTGTGAATGAAAAGTTTTTTATTTACGTGTAATATTATTTTAATAAAGAATGTGTAATTGAAAAGAAAAGAGATAAAAATACATTTTGAAGAAAAAAAAGGGAATTAAACGAGGCCTAAAGATAGAGATTAATAAAATCCTAAATTATTGTTAAATTTATTATGCAAATTGAAAATCAAGACATGAAATGTAAAAAAGAAACATTGAACCCTATTTTGTGTGTGTGCGCTTTCATATTTTACTCTACTCGAAATTGACATTTAAAAATTGAACAGAAAATAGATCGATTTCATAAAAAACCATTATCAACCGAAATTGTTGATTTCTTAACTTTCATCAATGAACTTCGTAAAGAATCAGGATCAATTTTAAATTCTAGGGATCTTTCTGTATTTTCAAATAAAGAAGAAGGAAGAATAGATTCAGAAAAATGAACAAAATATTTGAAATATTTTAAAAATAGGATTGAAAGGTTGCACCTTCCTCCGTTTAGAATATCCCTCCGGCCGGTTTTCACTCTTGCTTCAACATGTGTTTACCTCCAATGTTTAGCTCGCAGTGAGTAGCTAGGTCTTCGAGCTTGGCCGAAGGGCTAATTTAAGGTTCTAGCTTGAGTTCTTAGCAGCTGGCAGTGGGGGAAGAAAAAAGGAAAGAAAAGGGCAGAGTTGCTGAAAAATGTTTGGCTAGGGTTTAACATGTAAATTAGACTTAAGTGTGTCGACTATGTATATTTAGACACCTCAACATATGATTTGGGATCGTTGGATAAAAAATGTCACAATGAATTATACTTATTTAGTGCTAGTTTCGATACTTTAAATTCTAATCATATTTGGCCAAACATTTTTTTTATCCAAACATTCTTATGAGACGTACTGACTGAATTATAATTTAAACTCTTCCAAACAAGCATTATTTTAGGTTTAAAACAAATATGTTTATTCTCAGTATTTGAGTAATGTTATTTACAGTCGTCCAATGCCAAAGTCGCTTTATGTGGCATACATGTGACAGTTCATAATTTGATATATTAATGTGATAATTTTTTATTACCTTGTGCAACAAATCACTTATCGCTACATGCATACCACGTAGGACAATTGCGACAGTGAGCGACTGCAAATAACATTATTCGATGCAAAATATTTTGTTTATCCCATAATGTATCTTATAGTGTATTTGTGCTTACGTAGATTTATTTTACTTTTGAAGTACTTATTTGTATGTCAATTATGATTCAAAGTTGTCAATTTTCCAAGGGAACTTTAATTTGGGAAATGCTAGAATACTAGATTCATTCCACCAAGGCCACTATAGGTTTACTTACATGCAGGGGGGCCCACCCAATAAAAAAAAGGCAAAAAAATACCCACGCCTACCTCCCTACATGTGAGTAACCTGTAGTGACCCTGATAAAATGAATCTGGTATTTCAGCATTTTTCCTTTAATTTTACAATTATGCTATGGGTTTAGGCACCCACTTCACAGGCGACTTACAGGATTTCAAAATGAAAATACGTGGCACTTGAAAATACCACCCAAAAAAAAAAGATTAAAATAATGGAATGTGGTGAGAAACCCAATTTGACCCAAGATTTCTCCACATTTTCTCACACCCAAACCGACAGAAGTGGGAGGAATGGGAGGGGAAAAAATAACCATTTTGAGCGAGAAAGAAGTCCGACATCTTTCGGCAGAATTCATGTTGCCCAGCCATAAGGCATAAACCTCCGACGTATTTTCAACTTGAGCCACATTCTTCTCATTTTCTTTAGTGCGGTGCAATTTCTAATTCCAAATTTCTGCTTCATGGGTTAGAAAAATTATGTGGTTTGCAACTGTAGTTGAAGTTTTGAGACTGTTACATGTTGTCATACTTGGTCAATCTACTTGGGCCTATGGCCCACTCAATCCGAACAACGAGGCGCTCTAGCCGAGGTGGTTTGTATGGCCGAGACCCTTCATGCCGAGGCCCATATGTTGAGGCCTGTGAAGATAGTCGAAGCCCTAAAACAGAAGTACTACATGAGTGGCAGAAGCCCCGAATCTGAAGCCGAAGCAAAAGCCTCCGAACCATGAAGGAACATCTTCCATGATCACTTCTCCCAAGATATCTTCTACATAAAGATCTTGTTAGAATGATTGATGGAACGTTTGTCATAAGTATACATATCGAGTCTTGTCATTAGCATCGGGATTCTGCATAAGCAATAAATGCGCAGCAAGTTAGCAAGTTAAGGATGATGCCCGGGATTGGATGTTTGAATTAAAGAGATGATGCCACGTGCCACCTCATCCAATGACTGTCATTTCACATATACCACTATAGATACTTCCATTGTGTAACATTGAAGAACTAATGCAAGAATTAATACAAGAAACCACACTTTACTCTTTCTCTTTCATATTACTTTACAACACAATACGAGTTCATACATATTTACATGCACATTCATGAGCACCGATTGATAATTATTGTACAATCGGATTACGAACATCCCGTCGGATTCCGAACGTTCTCGTCCCGCGTTGTTGAGCTACTTCCACGCCCCCGATCCGTTCGTCCTAAACCGTCCACGTGTCTTAGCTTGTAGGATCTTTGCTCACGTGTGCGCGGATGGGTCCGGCATCTGTTGACAACATTTTTTGGGATCAATAAAGACAATAATTCCATTAACTGTCACTATTGTGCACCTGAATCCTCTTCTAAGTTTGTTTTTCCCCATTTTAGTTTTTATTCGTACTAAAGGAGTGAATTATTTTGTAAAAAATCAAAAGCTACATTTTGAGTTTTCTAATCTATTAGGCCAATCATGGAAAAAGATAATGTTGACGACCGCCACTTCTCTGAAAGCATGGTTCTTGCCCCCACTCCCCCCTTTGAGCTCGTCCATTCGTCAGGTGATCCCTTGATCTCACGTTCGAGTGTTTCCTCGTCGTTTAGGCTTGTGAGTGAGATTTTTTGTTGATTGCAGTCACCTCCGAGGTTCTTCGCACCTGGATAGTACCACTCCACCTTACTGCTTGCGTGGTTCATTTTCCTGCTGAGTTGTGTATTAGTTTCTTTCTTCATGGACAAGGAAATTTTGTTAACCGTGGGGCTTCAGTGGATTTGCATTTTCTTAACTGAACTTTCACATTTCACACATGCTTAAAAAATGAGGAAAGAAAAGTTTGAGGCTGCATGGAAACTCTAGAAATTGATGTGAATTCAGTGCAATAAATATGCACAAGTTTCTGTACTCATAGCAAAATTGATGTGAATTTCCAATTTTCTATTATCTATTTCATTACACCAGAGTAAGGGATTGTTTGATAAGTATTTTTATGTAAAAATGCATTTTAAAATAGTAAATTGATGTGAAATGTGTGATTGAAAAATAATAATTTATGTGTAATATTATTTTAATAAAGAATGTGTGACTAAAAAGAAGAAAGAGAAAAATGCATTTTAAAAAAAATGGCTACCAAATGGGGTCTAAAGAAAATGAGAAGATGTGGTTCAAGTTGAAAATACGCCGGAGGTTTAAGCTTTATAGCCGGGCAACGTGAATTCCGCCGGAAGACGTCGGACTTCTTTCTCGCGCAAAATGGGTTTGTGATTTTCCCCTCTCTGTGTTCCCTCCACTTCTGTCGGTTTGGGTTTGAGAAAATGTGGGGAAATTTTGGGTCAAATTGGGTTCTCACCGCATTCCATTATTTTAGTCCCTTTTTTCTTTTCTTTTTGGCTTTTGGTTGGTATTTTCAACTGCCTGTATTTTTATTTTGAAATCCTGTAAGTTGCCCGTGAAGTGGGTACTTGTACTTAGCATAATTGTTAATTTTATATATAAAAAAATGAACCCAATCAAGTGTACTTTATTGTCAAATGCTTGCACTCTACCCTTCTATAATTTTGAAGTCAAATTTGTGTATGTTCCGTCCTTTTATGACTCTATATATATATATTAGAATAGAGAAAGTAATCTCAACTACTTATTATTTTTTTACTTTAAAATTTAATTCAACATATCACGATAGAAAATACATATATTTTGAAATATTTTTCAATTTTATAGAATAATATTATTTAACATCATTGGTGCTAATAACTATTCTAATAAGTATGTAAGTATCTTAATCGTCATTGGACTTTGCAAAGTGTTACTACTTCGTAACTGAACTTAAAAATATATCCCAATATTTGAGTGATGGATAAATAACACGGTGTATAGGTTAGTGACCATTGAGATATATTTTTAAATTCTATTATAAAATAGTAATTTTGGCAAAGTTAAGTGATCATTGAACTACATTTTTAAGTTTTGGATAGTAAAACTTTCAGTTGAAAACTAATGTCATCCATTTATTTCAAAATGAATATCAGCAAAAGTTATAGTTTTCTTAAATTATAGGTCTCTGATTTTCTGTTTCCTCTTTTTGCCCTTCGTTTTATTTGATTTCTTTATCATGGAGTTCAATTTGACAAATTTAATAACTGAATTTAAATATGTTTCTCAATGATCACTGAATTATGTCAAGTGCTAAACTACTTAACAATCGAACTTAAAAATATATATCAACGATCACTGAACTCATTGAGATACATTTTTAAGTTCAGTTATTAAGTAGTAGCACTTGATATGGTTCGATGATTATTAAGATACATTTTTAAGTTCAATTATTAAGTATTAATACTTGACAATGTTTAGTGGCCATTCAAATGATTAAACCTTCTCTTTTCCATTATTTAAACAAGCAAGCACGTGTAAATATAAGCCTTTAAACAAATTCATTATGGATTAAACAAAATTAATATCGACAATTAAAAGATAAAATCTCAATATACACAAATATATAACGTAAAATTTTCGACTGGTTTGGAAAACTAGTACTGCTACTTTAAGATCGTATTAATTTCTATTATAACTATCGACATTATGTCTAAGAAAAATAATTTATCAACAAAAATTAGTTTTGGAAAAAATTTATCAATAAATAGTATATTATTGATGAAAAAGTTGATAAGAAAATAATAATTAAATATAATAATTTTAATATTAACAGCATAATTTTTTGTCACTAATATAATATAAAAAATCTCAACAACTTTGGCTTGTTGATAGAGTTTTGTCGCTAAGCAAAGTAATAAAGTAAAATCAAATTAAATTAAGGGATAGTTGTAGCTACGATCCTAAACCTTTTATTTTTTGTATACTTTACTCAAATCTTTTACTTCTGCCAATCATAATTCCAAATCTTTCATTTCTTTGCAGCATAAGGATAAATCAAGGTTAGACATTTGACTTTTAATCATTGAAGATGGGAGAGAAAGAGATTTTTTTTTATTTTTAATTTTTAATTAATTATTTGAGACACAATTGTATTTTTATGAAAAAATTTGGATTACTGTTGCAATTGATTCTTTATTCTTTTATTCTTTTTTTGGTTTTATTTAAAGAGATTGGTATATTCATTATTTTATAAGGCTTTACTAAGAAAATGTTGCTTTCCGCCCTTAAAATGTCAACTGGAGAAATTTTCGTCAATCTGAAACGATAGGGAGCATTCTGTAACAAAGGCAAAGACCAAAGGCGTTTTGCACCAATTGTCCATTTTCAAAATTATTCATTTTGACCCTCTTTAAGTGGATTTAACGGCATCTTTAATGGGGATGGAATGACAAGGAGGTTTTTCGCACCTCAAAGGTCATATGGGGGATTTTTTGCCATTCTTAAAGGATGTGGAATATTTTACAATAGGAGCAAAGGTCAAGGGGTTTTGTGCCAATAATCCTTTTCCAAAATCAATAAACCCTTTAGGCAAAAAAAAAAAAAAAAACTAATTTACAAATTTGAATTAAGCCCGCGTTTGGCCTCATTAAATTAAATTTCATTTTTCTCTCTCCCATTTCAATCACACATTTTTCCATAAAATAATATTACACGAAAATCGATTTTTTTCCCGCCATTTTAATTTGAAAAAATGAGGCCAGGGGCTAAATTTCATAGCTTTCATCGCTCATGAACAATAACTCACACTGGGGAAAAAAGAAAAGAAAAAGCACCGATTTTTTTTAACATCCCTTAAACGATGTTACCCAAAAATGATTAAAATCGATGGGAAAAAAAAAAAAAAAAAAAACTCCCAATCTCATCTGGAACTTGACTTCTCAGCTTGTCAAATGGTAATGGTGATTTCTCGTTCATCACCATTGAAGCTCTCTGCACCAACTCATTTCTGGCTGTTGCATTTTATGACACGGTGTTATTACAAAGCTTAGTTTATGTGATTTTGTAATTTTTTTTTTATATGACAGTCATAAATTAGTTTTCTGAAGTGCACTAGTTATTGTAGAATTGAGATTTTCCTCATTTGTGTTTCTATTGTGCTGAGCACTGTTCTAAAAGGCGTAACGCGTGACGAAGCGTGGAGGCCAAGTTATAGGCTAGACGAGTTTAAGCAAGACATAGGCGTAAAAATTCTTTTTCTTATTTTAATATTTTTGTAATTTTTAATCAATCAAAAAATTATTTAATAATTAAAAATAATACCTATCAAACATCTAAAACAGATTTATAGAAAACTTTATACATTTTTTCAAAGTTCTAACAAAAGGATAAGTTTCAATTATAAGTACTAAATAGTAAATAGATAGGAATTTTTGAAAGTTGTCCTTTGTTCAGGGTTTCAAGCAACTGTTTTAAATTTAGGGCAGACAAAATAAAGAATTCATCTTTTCAGTTTTAACTTAAAAAAATTGTAATTAAAAAAAAAAAGATAATAATTTGCGCCTAGGCGCGCATCAGCCTCGTTAACCGCTAAATAAGGCACCAAGCTACTTGGCTTGGTGTTTTCACCGTGCATATTTTATTTATTTTTATTTTTTTTGGGATTCCACATTATACTGCTTTGGTGTTGTGGGTCTTGTGTGATTGTCAAAAAACGTGACTTAGGTATCTTATTAGTTACAATGGACAAATTATTCAACATTCTTCTAATTATTGTCCCATTTTGGGAATGAGATTTCATGGTCTTGCAGGCCACTGGTTTCGTTGCAGTATCGTGATGTCTACGACCGACAATTATTCAAAACTGTAATATTACAGAACAATATGTTCATTGTAACTCTAGGTTTAATCGATAAATATTACATGAAGAATGGTAATATTATACATGTAATATCCAAAAAATTACATTCTCCGTTTCATGAATATTACCAGAAGTATAATTGAATCACAATTGTAGTAGATTATATATTTTCAGCAAAATGACAATCAATATAAATTTCAATTCAACATAAGTGTACGACAAAGTACATTATCAAACAATGATTTGTCATCATTTCAACCACACATTCTTCAATAAAATATTATTACACGCAAATTCAAAACTTTTTTTATTTTTTAACCACGTATTTTTCATCAATACGGTATTTAAAAATGCATTTTAATGAAAATAATGTGACTCAAACAATGGCACAATCATTGTAACTCTGAATGTATATTATTTTGGAATGTTGTGTTGCAATCCGTTAGCAAAATTATTCACATTGTAATGACTTTGTGAATCCCTAAAATCATTGAGATTATTAACCAATAGATTTAAATAGTTAGTTAAATGATTTATTTCCTAAAATAAATTCCAAAGTATTCACATATTCATGCCTTCTTATTAGTATATTAAGTCCCTGTTTGGTATAGATTAAAATTAAATTTTAATCTAAGTTAAAATGACCATAATTTTTAACCACGTATTTTTACTAAAAAATTTAATTTAATCTCCACCAAACAGGAGTTAAGTTCCACCCAGCATTAGCAGGCCCGTGCCTCCGCGTGTTTAATGTAAACCTAGTCAATTACAAAATATAATATTAAGTGAAATGTGGGGACTTAAAAACAAAAGAAATTAATGGAGCTCACGGGTTTCTCTTGACTACGCAGAGTCGCTCCTCCCCCACCCCCAGCTGGCTATATGCATGCTTTGATGCTGCATTTTGTCTTAAAACTAGAAAAATCGAGCATGTTTGTCTACACTTAGAAAATTATAAGTGACTTTTTTTTAAAATGCTACATTTTCCTATTTTTAAAATCACAATATCTACTATAATATATAAAGAATTATATTGTACGTACAAAATTTTTGTATAGATAGGTTGATGCATGCTTGGCATGCATCCATCCCTTGATTTGAATTTCAAAAATTCAAATTAAGGGACAGATCACTGTCAACCTATCTGTACAAGTGCAATAATTGATATATAAATTTAACTGGGTGACATTCTCGAATTATCATTAGAGCGATCTCTACTATACATACTATAAAAATATTACAGTTGCCTCCCGGGGCATAGCTCAACTGGTGAATCAATCAACATTGGCTTGCTTCCAGCGGCAGGGTGGAGAGTTCGATTCCTGGTGAGAACCTGCGGCCAAAAATTTGGTATGGAGCAATCATTGTGGAGGAGGGTCTCTTGTGCGCAGAAGTGTACAGTCAATGGGGGGAACATGTGATCCAGTTGAGGCATAACCCGCGATTTAGCCCCTCCAAGGTTCTAGGGACATGAGTCTTGGAGGTTCAGGATTTAGTCTAGTGTAAGTTGGGATATCTGGATATCAAAAAAATAAAAAATAAAAAATATTACAGTTAAATCACTCTTGTTAAATGGACACAAATTAACTATTAACTTAACTACAAATAAAATGATTACAGTAAGTCATAAATAATATAATTTAAAATAATAAAATGTGAGACTGGAATTAATTAAATAATCTCCAAAGCCACCGCAACAAGACTTTTGACTCTTCTGTTTATATAACGTCCTTTTCTCATCTTTGACAAGTAGGGCTTCACTCCCTATCCCTCCACCGCTACACACCAAATTGCACGAATAAAGGACTGACACGCCAAGCTAAAAAACACTTGCTAATCAGCTTAAATTAAATTAGGGTTACGGTTAGTTCAAGGCATTTTCAGCAGCCATGAATCAAGATGAACATGAACGTGAACGTGAACATGAACATAAACACGAACACGACATGGTCATGCCTGGATTTCGCTTTCACCCCACAGAGGAAGAACTTGTCGAGTTCTACCTTCGCCGGAAGGTTGAGGGCAAACGCTTCAATGTAGAACTCATCACTTTTTTAGACCTTTATAGCTATGATCCTTGGGAACTTCCAGGTATATTTACATTTTTCAATAGCATTCTTTTGGAATTTGCTGACCATTTCTTTTGATCTTTATTTACTTTTCTGTTTTTTTATTCAACCTATAGGAGAATTCACGATTTGGGTAACGGACATAGCTACTTTTTATACCTACTAACTATTAGAGGTTATTTATTGACATTAGCATATAAATCAACTGATTAAAGTATTGAATTTTGTTGGTATTTTTGATAATTTTAGTGTTTCTTCCTGTACCTTAGCCTTGACAGCAATTGGCGAGAAGGAATGTTATTTTTATGTGCCTAGAGATAGAAAGTACAGGAATGGAGATCGGCCTAATCGCGTAACAACTTCAGGCTACTGGAAAGCTACAGGGGCTGATAAAATGATTCGAGGTGAAAACTTCAAGTCTATTGGACTAAAGAAAACCCTGGTTTTCTACTCCGGTAAAGCCCCAAAAGGAATTCGAACTAGTTGGATCATGACTGAATACCGCCTGCCACACCAAGAAACCGAACGTCTACAAAAAGTAAGAATTTCTATGTTAAGAAATTTTTATGAGGTTCTTGATCATCTTAAGTATTATAGGCATTTTCAACATCAAAGCGCTCCAAATCTTATGCAAACTTGTTTGTGTGAACTTCAACTCTCCTATTGAGAGAACGTGAATTCCATAAATTTGTGGGTTTTTTTTTTTTTTGTTTTTTTTTTTTTTTTTTTTTTTTTTTCTCATAATCATTGGTCTGCTTAATTGTCTGTACCTAAATTCAGACAGCAGAAATTTCTCTTTGCCGTGTCTACAAAAGAGCTGGAGTCGAAGGCCACTCTCGATCTCTCCCGACAAGATTACCATCATCTTCCAAATCAGCACAATCTACACCCGAGAAACAAGAAGACTGGACTAATCAAACTATGGAAAGCTTCGAAGCTTATGGAGGATCATCAAATCAAAATGATGAGAAAATGAGTGAAACAAGTGCAAGTAGCAGCACTGATGTTGGGAATTCCCTTGTCCTTGCAAACCATAATACTTATAACGTTAATCCATTAATCCCCATAACCTCTACAGTTCCAATGGAAATAGATGAAAGGATCATGAATTTACGACCTTCTTCTTCATCCCTTTCAACTGATCATCATCTGGTGAATTACTCCCCCCAAGCATCAAACATTGTTCATGGCCAGTACCAGTATCCTAATGATGCTCCTGACTTTCTATCCCACTTTTCTGACTTGAAGCAGCCACAACCGCAGCCTCTAAATGTGCTTCCAGGCTCGATGCAGGACACTTTCTCAGACGGATTATGGGGTTGGAATGCAATTTCATCGGCAAGCAAAGACTACAGCAACCTCTTCAAGTAATTCAATGTGCTGCAAGTAATTACACATACATAGATACCTTTCATTTCATATATGTGTATGACAGTGGCTAATGTGTTAGGTCCCTTTAAAATACTTCTAATCGTTGTTAGTTAAGAACCTAAATCGGGTGATACAATCACGTTGCTCGAGTTGAACGGAGCTCCATTCGTTCAACGTATCGTTGATTTATAAACTTCGTTTGTGGAAAAATCTGACTTGATAGGGTTTTGGGTTCAGTTGGATTATTTTCAAGTCATTGTGCAATAACTATTAATAACTCCTCTTTCAAATCCTGAGTAAGGTTAAGAACCCTAATGGGCTAAAAGAAAATTATTGAGTTTCTTTGTCTATTTACTATGTTACATTTGCTTTTGTAAAGGATTTAGCAATTTTTTTTCTTCATTTGAGAGATAGAGCTTTGTTATGTGTACATAAAAATGCTGCTAAAATTTTCATAGAATACCTGGCGGTTTTTTACTGGACAAAAAAAGATCATAACAGCATCGGTGAGATTTTGATAGTGTTTTAAAAGGCGCGTCTTGGCGTCACCTTGGCGCAATGCATGGCGAAAATGCTGCACATTTTTTAGTGGTCAACAATTGCTGTTGACTGCTAATGTGCGCCTAGCATGATTATGCGTGCCTAGGCGAGCATTATTATCTTCTTCTTCTTCTTCTTCTTCTTTTTTTTTTTTTAATTCTTTTAAGTTAAAACTTAAATGCTGATTTCTCCACTTTGTCTGCCCCTAGATTTAAAATAGCTGCTTGAAGCCCCGGATAAAATAAAACTCCCAAAAATTCATATTTATTTACTATTTAGTATTTATGTTTGAAACTTACTTTTTTGTTGAAAACTTTGAAAAATGTATAAGGTTCCAATAATTTATTTAGATTTTTAGTAGATTATTTCTAATTATGAAATGATTTTTTGATTGATTAAAAAGTAAAGTAATATTAAAATTAAAAAACGCCTTTTTACGCTTTGTTACATCCATGCTTCATTTAAGTTCGTCTAACTCATAGCTTGATCTCCACGCATCCCTTAAAAAATGATTTTTTGATTGATTAAAAATTAAAGTAATATTAAAATTAAAAAAGGCCTTTTTAACGCTTTGTTACATCCATGCTTCATCTAAGTTCGTCTAACTCGTAACTTGATCTCCACGCATCCCTTATAGCATGCTTTTGTAAAGCGGAGAAATTGTTCTTGCTGCCCTCCGGGGCATAATTCAGTGGTGCAAATGACAGGAGTGAGGTTATCTCACATCTTGCTAACAGTCGCAGTGTGGGGGTTCGATTTCTGAGACATGGAATTAAATTTCTTGTACGCACAGTGTACATGCAGCTCTTGTTCTCTTACCTGTTGGAGCACGTACAGCAATTTATCTCCTTCACAAAATTTTAGTGACGAGACAGTGAGGCCCAGTTGTGGTTCAACCTTTTTTTTTTTTTTTTTTTTTGAAACTGTTCTTGCTATGATTCTTGTTCCAGCCTGACATGTGATTTATAGAACTCTACGGCCACGAGAAAGATGATGATACAATGATTGAATACTTGCCGGAAATCATGACTTGCAGACTTCTCAGAAACAAACGTACCACAGATGCTCTGAATTTGCCCATTTGTTTGTTAGTGGAAAATCTAATTTATTAAAATGTACCATGCATATGATAATGATAAGAGTATGTCACTCCGACGATGCTAACGGTACATCGGAGTGTACATCACGGTGTTCACCCCACTCACATGGGTAGGGAGTCCACTTGAATATTTTATTCGAGTGGATCCCCCCATGTGAGAGGATGTACACCTTGATGTACAAAAGTTGATGTACCACTAGCATTGGTCATGTCACTCAGGGTCGATTCAATGCCTGTGATTGATTTGGTTAAAAATATAGCCCTTGCTTGTTTTCATTATTTCTAAAATATATCGTTTTATTTTTTTTAATCACACGTTTTTCAATAAAATAATATTACACGTAAATTTAAATTTTTTTATTATTTTTTAACTATATATTCTCCATAAACTTACTATTCCAAGATGTATTCTTAAAGAAAATAGGGCTCAAACATTGCTAAGTTAATAAAATATCAAAAAATATAGAATATATTTCATTTGACTCTTCCAATTTTTGTGAAAACAAATAAATTATCGTTCATCAACTTCTTGTTAGTTCAAGGATGGAGTAATTTTGCAATGTGAAAATTGTTTAGAATGCATGCATAATTTTATTTGTCTTTATTGCGGGTGATTTATGTCTTTTCAGTGACAATCTACAATATATAAACCGATAATTATAGTCACACCACAATTTTTATTTCTTTCATCACATTTTAACTATACCTCATGTTATTTATCTTTACTCATTATAGCACTTATGTCCCCAAATAGTTTTAATTCCATTCTTATCCTCAAACTTTTCATTAATTAACGCATTTTGTATTTGATAATTAATTAACCGTCGCCTAATTAATTTCTCAACTAGCCAATTAACAAATTATGATATTACGATATTAGACCAAATTTTCCAAATTTAGTTAATTACACCTCTTGGGTGAAATGAATCCTAATTGATTGGTCTAACCTATTATATCTCTATGTCGATTACGTACAACCAAACAACCTCATTAAATCTTTATGAAAATAGCTAATGATCACCTAGGATTAAAGGTATATCTTCATCCCCTACAAAAACCTAAGGTACTTACTATTTAGTTTAAAATGCACAATCTTCTTTTAAATGATATATAAATCACTAAACTCGATTATTTAATGGCCAAATAAATGAAAGGGATTCAACACAATAATAAATACACATAAAATAATCATTTAACATTAAAGAACAAATATTAAAATTAATTAAAGCTAGGTATAGTTGCAAAGTATTTCAAAAAACTTGTCTTGCTGGATGAAAACGATATGTTTATGAGAGATTACATGTATTGGGGAATGATTTCAACAATGGGGATATAATCCACTTAAAGGGGTCAATGAGACAGACTTCTCACCATCCGTGGATTTAAACTGTGGATCGATAATTCAATCCAAAGAAATATCAACAATTGTAGAAGGGTTTAAAGTGAATGACAATTTAATTACAAAGGAATCAATCAAAGATGTAGAAATCAACGATGATGAAATCAGCATACATTCAGCCGACTTCATTGATTGCATAGAAATTGATTTTGTGATTAAGTCTGATGAGGATGTGGAAATCAATATTGTTGAGTTTGAATTAGATGGAATGGAAAAGTCCTGCCACATTAAAAAGGGCAATGTCGATGTTTAGAGAAATAATAAAAAATAGATCAAAGTCAAAACGAAGAAAAATGGGCAAGGTATCCGAAGCTTTCTTTTTAGTAATTTTAATTTTTCTTTTAACTATATCAATTATATCAACTACTTTCAAAAACAATATAGTACTTTGAAAAATCCTATTTGTACACTGGGATTGACACTTTGGTATACACTCCCCTCACAAGAAGGGACCCATGCCCAATAAAAAAATCTTGGGTCCCTTTTTGTAAGGGGAATGTACACCGAAATCTCAACCCGGTGTATGTGTAGCAAAACTCTAGTACTTTGAAAACAATGTGCATATCATTCATCCGATACATATGAAGTATAACGCACGATCTTACTACTATTCTTAATAAAAGAGAATAATACATAAATTTAATTAATAAAAATAAATTTCTGCATGGAATAAATAAAAAGGGAAAATTTATTATATGCAATGAAAAAGGCTTGATTAAATATTAATTTTGGGAAGGATATATAAATGTGAAAGATAAATAATTAATTAGATGAAAATGAAATAGTAATTGATCCTTTGGAGAATAAAATAATAATTTAAAATTGGTATAAAAAGTACTAAACGTAATATACGCACATCGTGGGATTTGTTATTATTATATTCACACTATAATTTTATTATTTACTTCACATTTTAATTGAAATAAAGGACTCTAATTTTTGCTCAAATTTGCAGTTATATCTCTAATTTTTGTCGCATTCTTGTCCTTTTAATCAAATTAGCACATCTTATCTGTGATGATAATTTTTGTTCAATATTCTACATATGTTTATTGAAACGAGGAATAAATATTTTATTTTTGGACAGAAAACTTCTTAGAGACAAGATAGCAAAATAATATAATGTTTGAGGATAAGAATGTGACGAAAAAGTTTTGGAATATAAATACGAAAATTAACAAAAGTTAAGAACAACCGTTGCAATTAGTTTGAAAAAATCATAGCGTGAATAATTACTCTTTGTTTAGATGAGAATATATTTCAGCTTCAATTTAAAAAGTAAGAAGAATGGCCACATCATTCATAAGAAAAAGGATAATTGCAGCGACAATTCTAAACTTTCATTTTTTGCAAGTTGTACCCAAACATTTGATTTGTTGTTGTTCTAGTCCAAAATCTTTCAAACTTGTGCAACGGAAGGATCCCTGGAGTGTTTTCGTCCAAAAATTAGTTAGCTGATAAAAAAATTAGCATTCTGACCAATTTTAAAAATGGCAAAATGGTCTTCTAATAATTGGTTAATTAAAATTAGATAGTTTGCATTGAAAGTTTCAAACCTTCCAAAAATATGCAGTGAAGATCCCAAACCTTTAATAAAAGTGCACAGAAGGACCTCTATCAATTTCCATACAAAATCTATCAACTAATGCAATATTCATCTTTCAAGATCCAAACAATCACTCAAACCCACTCACTGGTTAGTGGGAGAGCCTCAACAACCGTCGCTAATTTTGATCTTGAAGAGAATTTATTTAGTCTTTATTTATTTCTTTGTTTCTGAAGATTCTTGTTATAAGAAAATGGAGTTGATGGGGATGGGAAAAATGGACCGGGGTGGCGAAAGGTGATTGATGTTGCTGTGAGGTTAAGGTCTACAAAAAAATATTTATCTTCCTTGATCCACCCAACCTCAACCCCTAACTGCTAACCCACCATAGGGATAGACCTCATATATTTTCACTGGTGAGCCTCAAAATAGCCATAGTCATCACCTCATTTCCTCTATCTTTGTAGTCACCATTTTCCCATCCCCATCGAATTCATTTCCTCCCAACAAGAATTTTTAAAGAAATGGGAAGAAATAAATAAAGATAAATAAATCATCTTCAAAACCAACATTTGTCGTGGTGGCCGAGACTTTCACACCATCCAATGGATGGAATTGAGTGGGTTAGGCGTTGGGATTTGGTACTTGGATTAGGAAAACTAAATAATTTTTTCAAGTGACAGATTTTTGGATGAAAATCGTTAGAGGTCCTTCCGATGCAAATCTATTAAAGTTTGGGATCTCCATTGCA